TTTTTTTTTTTTTTTGTGTGTGTGTGTGTGTGTGTGTTTGAAAGGGTGGAACTTTGGAGTTTTGTACTCTGTTATTTTTCTGACATCTAGACTTGACTTCTTGATGTGAGAAGCACTGTTCTCAAATTTAAGTATGAAAAAAGTGATAGATTTTATCTTGTGGATTTTTCCCCCCAGTACTGGGGGTGCTCTATCTCTGAGCTACATGCCCATATCCCAGCCCTTCTTATTTTTGACACAGGGTCTCACTAAATTGCCAAAACTTGCCTGATTCTTTCTTCTGCCTGATCAAATCTACTATGGAACCCTTTTAGTGAACTTTTAAAATATCAGTTGTACTTTTCATCTCCAGATTTTTATTAGATCCTCCCACCTTTGCGCCTGAGTAGCCAGGATTATAGGTGTGTGCCACCATGCCTGACATTAGACTATTATGCATATTTTTAGAACTTTTGATAAATATCTCCAGTGGCCTTCTACAAGTGATGTATGAGACTGCTGTTTCTTCATACATTCACTAATACCATAATTAAATTGTTTTTTGCTATTTTGATGGAGACAGTTTCTCCCTTTAAGCCATATTGTAGTTATTTATTAGTAATTTGAATGTTTTCAGGGAGAATTATCTGTTTATAATGACACACATCATATTTTATATCAGAGAGTCCTTAAACCTTTTAAACTTTACATCTGGATCCTTTCCAAAGATAAATTGAGCATATTTATCATAAATGATATATAAAAATAGTGATGATAATCTAGAAATAGAGTTAAAAACTCAAAGCCATGGGAACAAAAAAGAAGGCAGTATTAAATAGAACTTTAATGAGTAGACATTAAATCTGAGCTATCTAATAAAAAAGGAAACCCTGTAAGTTATAAAATTCTAATCACAAATGAGAAAACACACTAATTATAGGTCCATGACACCATTGCAGAAAATAATCTAAGGATAATTCTATTTTTAGCAAAGAGAGAGCTTATTCAAGAAGAAAGTTGGATATACACACTCTCAGAATTGGGTGCAAGAATGCAGACAACCTCCAGTGAGATGTGCTGCCACGGCTTAAGGCTGAGTTTTTATTAGGGTACATAATTAGGTGATATATGTATGACCCACAAGGGCTAAACTTCTTTTTTAAAACATTTTTTAGACATTGATGGGCCTTTATTTTGTTCATTTATTTATACACGGTTCTGAGAATCAAACCCAGTGCCTCACACATGCTAGGCAAGTGCTCTACCATTGAGCCACAGCCCCAGCTCTGAGGGGCTAAACTTCTTTAAGGATTGGCGAATATTGAGCAAGATCATGTTTCTCCATTAGAGGGTCTGCTTTGATATGTGGGGTTAGTTTACATCAAAGTGTCTGGTGGTTAGTCATGTCATGATTAATCATGTGATTGAGCCAGACAACGAATTTATGCATTACTGCATCTCCTATATTTCTAGAAATTTATCAGTGTCTTCAAGATTTTCTAGTTTATTGCAATATATATTTTCAAATAGTTTCTAATGATCATTTGATTTCAAAAGTGTCTGTGGTGACATGTCCTTTTTCACCTGTAATTTTGTTGATTTGGGTCTTCTTCCTTTTCGTTAATTTTGTTAAGGGTTTATTAGTCTTATTATCTTTTCGAAGAATCAACTCTTTTTTTCATTGATCCTTTGTATTTTTAAAATTCTCAGTTTCATTAATTGCAGTTCTGATCTTAATTATATCCTGTCTTAAGAACACATTTCTCCCTCCGGTATTAATTTTCTTTCTTGCTTTTTTTTTTTTTTTGTACCAGGGATTGAACCCTGGGGTTGATTAACTGATGAGCCACATCCTTTTTTATTAGAGACAGAGTCTTGGAGAGTTGCTTAGGGCCTCACTAAATTGCTGAGGCTGGCTTTGAACTCTTTTTTTTTTATTGGTTGCTCAAAACATTACAATGCTCTTCATCATATTTCATACATTTGATTCAAGTGGGTTATGAACTCCCATTTTCACCATGTGTGCAGATTGCAGGATCACATTGGTTACACATCCACGTTTGGCTTTGAACTCTTGATCCTCCTGACTCAGCTTCCTAAGTCACTGGGATTACAGGCATGTTCCACTGCACCTGGCTTCCCTGGTATTAATTTCTAAAACAGATTTCTCCTTTGGGCCCTTACATAGATAATATGGAGTGATAAATGCATCCTTAATGATTTTATAGCAAATGCATAAGCAATTTTATGGCTTTTTTGTCCCATGACTTTTTATACATTTAGCATAACTATATACAATACTTTTTAAAATTATGCTTATGTCAACATATAAATATTCTTGAACTTTTTGTAAGAAATGGTTATTAGTAATCTTTTTGGGGGGGAGGGGAGAAAGGACATAGGGAGATAAAAGGCAGATTTCTCCTCCACGTTTACCTTACCCAAATCCCAAATGATTTCGGGGTATTGCCTTGCATGCACAAGGCCCTGGGTTCATTCCTCATCACTATCAAAAAAAAATTAAAATAGTAGTGAAAATTACACCCAATTACCCCAAATAATATAAAAGATTATTGCCTTTGGTTGCTGGCTGTATGTACCAAACTGCAGAAACTATATTACTGTTTAAGAATATGTATAAGTTTAAAGCAGTCTTTGACATATGAAAGGAAGCTCAATGACTTTCATAATAAAAGAAATGGAAATTAAGATTACCCTGAAATGCCTTATGTTTTTAATTGCTAAAGATTCAAAGGCTTGATAACATGCTGTTGTTGATGAGGGGGTTTGGAAACAGGCCCTCTCATGCAAACTGGGGAAGAGTCAATTGGTCTAACTCCATTGGAAAGCAATTTGGTAATAGTCATTTAAAAAAAAAACTGATAAATCTTTTAAGCCTTTGATCTGGTAGTTCACTTCCAATAATTTATTGCTATAGTTTGGATCTAGATTGTCCCTCAAAGGTCCATGTGTGAAAGACTTGGTCCCAGTTTAGCTCTATTGAAAGGTTGTGTAAACTTCAAGAGGTGGGGCCTAGTGGGTAGATTCAGGTCATTAGAGTTTCAGGTCTCAAAGGGGATTGTGTGTCCCTACAGTCTTCCTCTTTATTTTCTTTGATATCTAGTATCATTAGGTGAACAGCTTTGCTGTATCATGTGCTCCTGCCATGATCTATTACCCCCCTTCTCTTAGAGACCTAAAAGATACACGAGTCTGCTTAACAATGGACTGAAAACTCTAAAACTTTGAGCTAAAATTAATCTTTTCTTTTTATAAGTTGACTATCTCAGGTATTTGTTATAATAATGGGAAGCTGACTGCTATGTTTATCTTCAAATAAAAGTTCTTATCCAGGTTATCAATTACTAGCACATTGTTAAATCTAGTGGTTAGCTGGAACCAGCATTTAACTACTCAGTCTTCCTTGATAGACTTTCTTAACCTGGTTCTTAGGACAACTATACTCTCTAGGTTGTATTCTTTCCGCCCTGGCCTTCTTTATCTCTCTAGCATTTAAATGTTAGAGTATCCCCAAACTCAAAATCCTTGAACTTATTTTCTAGCTATTCTTGTTTCCTTGTTTTTTGTTTTTTTGTTTAGAGCCATGAGACTGGCTAAAAAAAAAAATCTATATGCTGATGGCTCCCAAATTTATATTTCAAGTCTCGACCTCTCTCCTGAATTCCAGGTTTGTACATCTAATTCTCACAAACTTTGCTATTGCTCAAATGTGCTAGGCACATTCTTTTTCTTCTTTTTTTTAAAGAGAGTGAGAGAGGAGAGTGAGAGAGAATTTTTAATATTTTTTTTTTTTTAGTTCTCGACGGACACAACATCTTTGTTGGTATGTGGTGCTGAGGATCGAACCCGGGCCGCACGCATGCCAGACGAGCGCACTACCACTTGAGCCACATCCCCAGCCCCTTAAACTTTAATAATACATTTTATTTAAAGTAAAAATAGCTTTTTAACATTTAGTTAAGGTAAAGATTACTAATGAGATTTGATGTTCCTTTTATTATAAAAAGTCAAGATAATAAATGTTTTTTTTTAATATTTATTTTTTAGATGTAGTTGGACATAATACCTTTATTTTACTTATTTTTATGTGGTGCTGAGAATTGAACCCAGGGGTCTCACATGTGCTATGCCAGCACTCTACCACTGAGCAACAACACCAGCCCCTATATAATAAATTTTTATATTTTATTTTCCTCATACAGAGTCAAGGAAATGATTCCTCCAAGGCCTCCCCTTACCCGTTGGACAGGAGGTGCTCAGAAGGCAAGTGCAAAAACTGACATGAAAGCATAAGGTGTTGACTGCATACATTTAAAATGACGTGGACTCTTCAATGTGTCTTCTAGACGGAGTGAAAACCTGTTTGAAGTGTCACATATTTTCATTTCTGGTTCCATTTGTGATCAGTGGTAGACAGTGAGTGGTATATTGTTTAACCCTTGGATAGTGGTCTCTAAGTTAGGAAAAAAAGCGTAGTTTATATTTATATTGTTACTGAACATAAGTCCTAATCCAATTTTAGATTTTCAATCCATGGTCTTGACCTCTTTAGGCCACTTTACCAGACATTTTGCATTTTTCTAGGCAGTGAGTGATTACCACACTCAGATCAAGAACATTTCTAAAGCCATTCTGGATGAATACTACAGAATGTTTGGAAAACAGGTTGGGAGTAACATAGACAGTGAAACCTTAGAGGAGCAGAAGTGCCAGCTCAATTATGAATTTAACTCCTCTGGAAAATACTTTGCTTTCAAAGAACAACTCAAGGTAAAGCATTCACTTATTTATTTGTCTGTGGGATATTATGGAGCACCTTCTCTATGTATTGAACATTTTTTGTCTCTGATTATGTTCAGCTAACTTCTCTGTGATAGAATATCAGTAGAAGCTCTACTTCTGCAGAGTCTTGGAATGGTTTAGTGTCCATTCTGAGTGGGAATTTTTGTTTTTGTTGTTGTTTTGGTACCAGGGATTGAATGCAGGGGCGCTTAACCACTGAACCACATTCCCCAACCTCTCCCCCCTTTTTTTTAGAGAGAATTTTTTAATATTTATTTTTTAGCTTTCGGCGGACACAACATCTTAGTTTGTATGTGGTGCTGAGGATCGAACCCAGGCCACACGCATGCCAGGCGAGCACTGCTTGAGCCACATCCCCAGCCCCCAACCCCCCCTTTTTTTTGTATTTAGAGACAGGGTCTCACTAAGTTGCTTAGGACCTCACTAAATTGCTGAGGCTGGCTTTGAACCCACAATCCTCCTGCCTCAGCCTCCCAAGCTGTTGGGATTACAGGTATGTGGGCACCACTCCCAGCTGTTAAACCACTAAGCAAAGAAAAGACCATCAGCTCCAATTGAAATCAAATTAAAGCAAGCTTGTAATTCCTACCAGTGGGGGGTGTCTCTCCCAAAAACCACAGGAACAGAAGATGGCCCCGAAGCTCTCCAGGAGCACAGCTTTATAGCGCAGAAAGTTACAAAAAAGGTCAGGTGTCTTGAGAACTTACAGATAACAGAATTTTGACAAGTATAACACAAAGGCATATAGTAAATTAATGGTCCAGCACTTAGGCAGGCATTCCAAGCAGGTTTAGAAATCGCCGTAATTTATAGTAAGCTGAAATTAACTTTTCATGCCTTTGTGGCGAGATGGCTCCCAATCTTAAGAGGGAATTAGGCTGGGTTTATCGCCAGTATGAGTATTGGAGAAATGAATTCTTCACTTGATGCTAGGCTAGATTTTGGACCTGATTTCATGTTGCTCTAGGAGGAAGAAAATGTTACTGACTCTGAATAATTCTGTCTCCCATTCAAATCTCTCCCTGGCCCATGGAATCACTTAAGATTTGAGAAATAGTTGCTATGGTACATGCCCATAATCCCAGCACCTGAGTAGGCTGAGGTAGGAGGATTGCAAATTCAAGGCTAGCCTCAGCAATTTACTGAGTCCCTGTATCAAAATACAACATAAAAAGGAGTAGGGATGTAGCTCAGTAGTAGAGGGCCTCTGGCTTCAATCCCCAGAAAGAAGAAAAACAAAAATCTTGACTAATAACATTTAACATTTATTAAATGTTTTCTGTATGCCAAGCAAATTTTAATCCTTACAATAACCCTGTGGGGTAGGTACTCCCCATTGCTCCCTTTTATGGGTGGGAAAATATAATATTAATTGGTTAAATAATTTGCCCGAAATCACAGAGAATAAAGGTCAAAGACAGGATTCAAATTCAGGCACTTTGGCTCTAACTGCTATGTTACACTAGCTCTGTGAACATTTGCAATGTGTCCTTTTCTGTAGTAAATTGATACAAAGAAAGCACGTGGAAATGATAAAGTAGATGCTCATGGAGGCAAGAGGGTATTCTCAGTAGATGGTATAATCACTTCTTGGTTTGATTCTGGTTTTGCCTTTTCAGGCTGAGTGACTTTCAGGACATAACTTTACCTTTCTGTGCCTCAATTTCTTCATTGACAGTGAGGGACAATATTCATATTATCACATGGGCTATTTATGAGAATTAAATAATACGATGCATGGAAGGTGCTTCCTATAAAACCTGGCAATGATGTTAGGTTAGGGAGAGAAAAAAGCAGCTGTGTGGCCATAGCAACGTGCTGTGTTTATACCTTAGTCCCCCATTATGGGGGGTTATGTTTTGCCATATCACGTGACTAAGTCATTCAGGGTCACTCCAGGTGAATTTGGGTATGACGTGAAATAACCACACCAAATCAGAGAAAATATCTTTTTCTTGAGATTCTTCAGCAATGGCTCCTCTGCTCCAGCTCCCACAAGGGAGGCCGAAGAAAGAGGAGGAGGAGTTCTGAAGCCCTTTTTCATTGAGGGGAAGATACTCGAGAAAGTTCTACCCCAGTGAGAGAGAGTCAGATATCAGGGGGTTGAGTCTAGCTTCCTGATGTCTTGTGGTCGCAGATTGACATCTTGGAAGGCCACACCTATCTCAGGTGCTGTGTGGGGACCATAGGCAGAGCAAGGGAAAAGGACACATATCTCATCAGCCCAATGAGAGGCAATGTCAGTCCAGTCTGCTCATGTGCTCACGCTGGTGGCTTGCCACAATGTTTCAAGACCCCCAGTAGATCCTTGAAACTGTGGATAGTGCTGAACCCTGTATGTACTATGTTTTTTTTTTTCTGTAACATAAATACCTATGGTGACTCTCACCTTTTCACATAAAGGAAGAACTTTATGGCTTTTTTTTTTTTAACATCACTCCTCTGTGCTTTAGTGCCATTATTAAGTAAAATAAAGGTTGTTGAACATAAGCACTGCCATACCACAAAGGTCAGTCTTATAGCAAGATGACTACTTGGTGTCTGATGGGCTGGTAATGTATAGCATGGAAACAAAAGGACGATTGAACAAAAGGATGATTCACATCCATGGCAGGATGGAGTAGGGCCGTACAGGATGGAGCAGGGGCTGTTCAGGATTTCATTATGCTACTCAGAATGATACATAACTTAAAACTCATGAATTATTTATTTCTGAAATTTTCCATGTAATATTTTCAGACCACAGTTGACCATGGGGAGCTCAAACTGTGTATAAGGGGAAACTACTGTATTTATGTAGCACTTTAAGTTTTTACTTCTGTTTTCTGTCTTTGGTTTTCAGATGACTGAATACTAGAACTACATGTCCACTTAGCAAATGAGGAAACTTAGGTTCCAAATGTGAAATAATTTATGAGATTGTACATGTAAGCATTATAACGAGATTTCCATTCTCTGGACTCAAACCAGGTCTTTTTCCCTTTCTGCCTTGAATCATATGGCCACTATGAGAGAGTTAACACATAGCCAAATGCTAAGATTTTCTTCAGGTACATAACTCTCTTCACATGGGATGAGCCCTGCATTGCCCCAATTGGTAACAATGGTGATGTCAAAGAAAGAAGTTCTACAGAGGAATACCAGAGACCTGATAGTCTAGTGTCACCCAGGGAGAAAACAATCACCATCTGAAGTTCTGATGAACCTTAGATGAGAAGTCCTAGAGAGATGTGCTATCAGCACAGTGCTGGTCTGTGTTATATGAAAGGCATTGTGTATATCTTGCAGCATGCAGTGGTGAAGATTGTGAGAGAGAAATATTTGAGGACAACGTCATTTGAAAGCCAGGAGGAACTGCAGACATTTATCAGTGAGCTTTACGTATTCTTGGTAGATCAGATGCATGTGGCCCTAAATGAGGTAGGTGTCAACACCGACAGCTCTTCTTTTCTCTGTAGAATATCAAGATCGCCTTTGAAATATTCCCACTTTGCTTTTTTTCTTCCTTATTTAAAAAATATTTATTAAGGTGGCTACTCTGTACTAGGCACTGAAAACAAAAGATGAATAAGAAACTGCCTAAAATATAAAGCTAATTTCGGGGAGAACAAGGGATATACTTTTAAAACTTTATGACTTTTTAAAATGTAATGGAATCATCAAAAATAGACAAATTAGGCTATGGAAATTGTGAAACAAGATTATCATTCTATTTGTTTTGTGACTGTTAACAATTCTTACAATAAAAACAAAGAAAAACTGAGTTTTCAGATATTTTACCAAATTGCAATACATTTCAAATATGCTTTTCCCCAAGGCAGGTAATCTACTTTCCAGTCCATTTGTCTGTTTGCATATTTATTTGTACACCTATCTTGCTTCTTGCCTTCATCTGTTCATTTTTGTATGTATTCAGTTGTGGTTTATTTGAAAGGAACAAAATCAAAGTTGTTTTGTGCTCATGTTAGTCTCTTACTAGCTGTGCCTCCTTTTTCTATTTGTTCCTCTCTGTTGTTATTCTTCCCTACTACTATCACTTTTTTCTTTGATGTGGTTCAGCCTTCTTGGAAGATGTAGGACAAGAGGTTCAATATTGTAGAATTAAAAGAACAGTCCTTAATTCTTGGGAATGGATGATGTGGATGATTTGAATTGGAAAGCAGTTGAGAGTTGAGTATGGAAATTGCTGTTGCCTTCTGAACCAAAAGAACTCTCACCTAGTGGAGGAGTCAGGCACAAAATACAGTAACTGCAGTAAAAGGAGGTAAGTGCTGTGATAGTGTTCATCGGAGAGCAGATTAGAGTGAACAAGTGAATTCACAGAGGAGCTATAGCTTGAGCTGGGCCTTCAAAGCTGAAAAGAAATTCTCTAGATGCATGTCTCAGAGCATTGAATCACAGGAATTCCACAAAGGCTTAGGAGCTGCAAAGAATCTGGTATATACAGAGTTCAAGAGCAGAGGTTGAAGTGGTTAAGAGGTAGGGAAGAAGATGAAGCTAAGGATCTGTTCCTGTTGGGAAATTTGGGAGAGTGAAGGCATGCCTTGTATTCCATACAGAGAACTTGTGACTTTTTTCTCATTAGCAGTTGGGAGCAATAAATTAAACTACTTTATGATCAGTTTACATTTTATAAAAACCATTCAGTTTTTATACAGGGTTACAGCAGTTATAGAGGGTGGGTTCAAGGTGGCAAAACTGGTGATGTTAGATGACTGTTGCATAATAAAGAGGAAGAGGAGTAAAAAATACTTAAGTTTAAGGCTCATTGACTGGGTTTTGATGTTAACATTAACCAGGATAAAGAATATAACATGAATAAATTTGGTGAAATGCAGATGATGTTGAATTAATTTTAAACATTGGCTCCTGTGGGGTTTTGCTAAATAAGAGATCTGAACTAGAGATGAGATTTAGAGAGTGATGATATATGGATGCTACTGTCATTGATGAGGCTGCCTGAGAAAAATAGGAGGAAAGAGTGCAAACTAGTTATAGAATCCTAGGAAACACAAACATTTAAGGGATGGCTGAGCGAAAGAATTGATGAAGGAGACAAGTGGAATTGTTAAGGAAGCAAAAGAGCCAGAAGACAGTGGAGTTCTTGAGCCAAGGGGAAAGAATTTTAAGAACAAGTGGTCAACATTGTCAAATACTCCTAGGAATTCAAGGAAAACAAAACCCAAGAAGTTTTCATTGGGTTTGGTAAAAAGGAGGTTATTGTTAACTTTTACATAGCAACTTCATTGTGCTAATAGGAAGGATTAAAATTATAGTGCATTGAAGAGTAAATGTGTGACTAGGAAATAGATTAATATAAAATCAGGAAGTTGATAATGAAAGAAAATATGGAAAAGTAAAAGCTAGAAATTATAGGAATTTTCTTTTTAGGATAGAAAAACCTTGAGTACATCTATCTATAAGTTTAGGAAATGGAGTCAGCACAGTGGGAGAAGTTGAAAATTTTGGAAGGAGAGGAAATAAATAATGATAAGCCCAGGTTATACAACTGGAAAGGACCAAGGATTAGCCTTAAAACAGAAGGGACTCAATGCCTCTTCCTCTGAGACCGAAAGGAGAGAGAGAAAAATAGATGCAGAAATTGCTGGTCGAGGTAGTGCTTGCCTGTAATCCCAGTGGCTCAGGAGACTGAGGTAGAAGGATTGTGACTTCAAAGTCAGCCTCAACAATTTGGTGAGCCCCAAGTAACTCAGTGAGACCTGTCTCTAAAAACAATACAAAAAAGGGCTGGGGATGTGGCTCAGTGGTTCAGTGCCACTAGATTCAATTCCCAGTACCCAAAACAAAAGATTGATGCAGAAATAAACAATTTAGGTGTGGGATTAAAAATTGAGAGTTTCTTGCCTAATTATTTCTATTATCTCACCTCATGAAATAAGGTCTTTATTGAAAGTAAAGGGAATTCAGGTTGAATGAACAATTTGAAAAGAAAATTTTGTTGTTAAACAAGGACGAGTATAGAAATTACTGAAAATATTAAAGATTTTCAGCTAAGACTGAATGCCACAAGAGTCTGGGAGGCTCAGGTATCTCTGTAGCTATTATGTTTCTCCTCCTTTCTTTTTTTAAATGTTGTAGATGAACACAATACCTTTATTTACTTTATTTATTATTTTATATGGTGCTAAAGATTGAACCCAGTACCCCATACATTTGAGGCAAATGTTCTACCACTGAGCTACAACCCCAGACCTATTCAGTTTTTCTTAGACTCAGTTAAACACACTTGTGCAGGAATGAAGAAATCAGATTGTAGGCTTATTTTTTAAAAAATTATTTTTATTTATTGATTTATTTTGGTACTAGGGGTTGAACCCAGGGGCACTTTACCACTCACCACATTCCTAGTGCATATAATTTTTTATTTGGGGACAGGGTCTCTCTAAGTTCCTGAGGGTTTCACTAACTTTCTAAGACTGGCCTTGAACTTGTGATAGCCCTGCCTCAGCCTCTGTAGTCACTGGGATTACAGGCATGCTCTGTGATTATGGCACCTAGCTGTAGGATTGTTTTAATTTGGGAGTTTTCAGGACAAATGCAGGAAAAGGATGAGGATGCTTGAGATTTGAGTGTGCTGGTGAGAGAGGAGGACAAGTAGGTAATCATGAGGTCAGGTTGATCCATTTGGGAAGTTATGGGCTTATTGGAAGTGGAGGAAATGAAGTCAGGAAGCTACTTTAAGTAAATGATAAAAAGGTGGAAGGGTTGGAAAGTGGATTCTGGGAATGGGATACTAGAAGTAGAGTTCAGGTGTGGGCATAGAAGTGTGTTTCTGGAAGGATTTGAAGGTCATGATAATCAAAACTAAAAAGCACAGAGAACAGAAGCATTAATCAGTGATCATAAACTCTTTGGCCCATCTTAAATTTGGCTTTATTTTAAAATTAGTTTTTGGTACTAGTATTGAACCCAGGGACACTTAACCATTAAGCTGAATCCCTAATTTTTTTTATTTTTTATTTTGAGGAAGGGTCTTAGGGCCTGAGTTGCTTAGGGCCTCACTAAGTTGCTGAAGCTGGTCTATAAACTTGTGATCCTCCTGCCTCAGACTCTGGATTGCTGGGATTTCAGGTGTGCACTACCACGCCTGGCCTTAGCTTTACTCTTCACATTCCTTAGCTACTATAATTGTTAAAGTCATTGCTATCATTTTTACTTTTTTAAAAAAATTTTTTAGTTGTTGATGGACCTTTATTTTATTTATTAATTTATTTGTGGTGTTGAGAATTGAACCCAGTGCCTCACCCATGCTAGGCAAGCACTGTACCACTGAGCCACAACCTCAGCCCAATTTTTACTTTTTTAAAAAATATTTATTCTTTTAGTTTTCAGTGGACACAACATCTTTATTTTACATTTATGTGGTGCTGAGGATGAACCCAGGGCCCTGCGCATGCCAGGCAAGTGCACTACCGCTTGAGCCACATCCCAGCCCCCATTTTTACTTTTAATTAAGGAATTTTAGGTTCTTGCATAGCCATAGCTTCTGACTTAGGAGATTACTAATTACACCAGACTTGATCTTCCAGCCTGGGTATATATGATATATTCTATTTCTGGTTTTTTTTCTACTTTTCTGGCTATTTCTCAAATGTCTCCTTTGTATGATCTATCAGTTTAATTTTCCCCCTAAAGTTATAGATCTGGCTTTTAAAGCTTTACCCTTTATTTCCTGTTTTCTTCATGTTTAAAAACTCTAGCTAGCACTAACTTGCTGATGTTTTTCACATCATGGCCCTTAAAAATGATATTTGTCCTATAGAAAATAAAGGAAGCTGTTTGAGGTCAGAGGTAACTTGAGTAGGGACACTGTCTGCCCTGAGGGTTGAGGAGAATTGTTTTGGCCTTAAACAATTTTTACTCACTTCCATGAGCTCACACTATTGGTATTCAAATACCTGAGCTTCCCTTTCACCCTTGATATTTGTTTCTTGGTTCTCTCATATTCTCTTACTGCCTTGGCAAGACTGTAAGAAACCTCAGTATCATCTTAGATGTTATGACTGTATCTTTCATCTGGTTATTCTCATAACCCTCTTCACTTGGAATTGCTTCATTTTGTTTGCTTAACATCTTGATATTGACAAGGCCATGCCAGATGATGTCCAAAGCACTGTTTCAGCCGTTCATACAAGCAGTGAACAGCTTCGACTCTTTGCATTTGAAGCAGAGGTTAATGAAAACTTTGAAATGGCAGCAGTGTATTATAAAGAGGTAATTAAAAATCTTTCTCAGTGATTTTTGTTACTATTATTGTAAAATATGGAAATAAAGAATAGTAGTTTTTGAATACTGAAAAATGAAACTTGTGGGGCAATGGCGATAGCTCAGTGGTAGAAAGCTCTTGCCTAGCATGAATATGACCCTGGGTTTGATGCCCAGCACTGCAAAAAATAAAAAATCAAATCTTGTTTAGTGAAGGGTACACACAAAAATCAATATATAACAGAGTCCAAAAATAGGCCTGTACAATAAGGATATTTGATTTTTGACAAGATATAAAAGAAATTCCATAGAGAAAGGATAATTTTTCAAGTGTTAAAACAATTGGTTATCTATATGCAAGATAAATTAAACTTGATCTAATGTAAGCATTATACAAAATTCAAGTTCAAATGGATGATGAATGTAAATTTAAAACAAAACTTTTAAAAGAAACAGAAGAAAATCTTCTTGGGCTAGAACTAGGTAAAGAGTTTTTTTTTTTTTTTAAGGGCAATTTTTTTTTAAGAGAGAATGGGAGAGGAGAGAGAGAGAGAGAGAGAGAATTTTTAATATTTATTTTTTAGTTCTCGGTGGACACAACATCTTTGTTGGTATGTGGTGCTGAGGATCGAACCCAGGCCGCACGCATGCCAGGCGAGCGCGCTACCGCTTGAGCCACATCCCTAGCCCCGGTAAAGAGTTTTGACACATGAAACTGAAGTACCATCAATCAAAGAAAAATGAAATAAATGGAACCTCATCAAAATTTAAAACTTTTGCTCCATAAGAAAAATACAGATCAGGAGAAAATATTTGTAACACATGTATTTGGCAAAGGATTCGTATCTAGAATATTAAAAACTCTCAAACTTAACATTTGTATATAAGCATTGGTTTGAGTACTTGTTTTTAATTATTTTGGATGTGTACTTAAAAATGAAATTGCTAGGACATGGAAATTCTGTGTTTAACTGTTAAGGATTTTAGTAGAAATTGCATTGTCTCTTTAGATTGCTTACAGTAGTGGTAGACATCTTAACAATATTAAGTCTTCCAATCCACAAACATGGGGTATCTTCCCATTTATTTATATCTTCTTTAATTTCTTTAAGCAAAATTTGTGGTTTTAATTCATGAGGCACCATTTTTGTCTCAGATTTTTAGATGAATTTACATTTGCCATATCATGATTATGGTAGAAATTACTATATATGGTTGATATCCCATAAAATGAATCTTTAGGCTCTTAAGGTACCAGATGAGTTTAAGGTGATCAGACACAGGGAAGAAATGGCTTGAGGATTCAGTTTTTACATTATTTCAACAATATATTTTTTGGCCATCTATTAAAGCTAGGATAGTAATTATACTACGCATTTGGGATTCCTGGTAAGCAAAAAAGTAGTCATGGCCTATGCTTTTATAGAACTTACAGTATTTATGGAGTGCTTACTATGTGATATCATATGTACAAAAAGTAGGACAAAATGTCAAAATAACCTTGGCTCTCCTGATGCTTGTGTGCCTAGAGGTTGGTCCGTGAGCCGCAGAACCTAGATCACTGGCTGGACTATGGTGCCTTCTGCCTACTAACTGAAGACAACATCAAAGCACAAGAGTGTTTTCGGAAAGCCCTTTCCTTGAATGAGAGTCACATCCAGAGGTAGAGATGGAAAGGAGATTGAGGGATGAGTAGGAGCAGATGAATTTCTACATGAGATTGTCTTGATTCCATGAATGTGACCTTGGACCATGCTCTTAACCATGTTAGCGGTCTTTTCTCAGCTTGTTGCTCTGTGGTGTCCTGGCTGTCTTGATGGAAAACTATGAGCAAGCAGAAATTTTCTTTGAGGATGCCACTTGCTTGGAACCAACCAATGTTGTAGCCTGGACTTTACTTGGTATGTTACTTTCCTGTGATATGTCTGTGTGTGTGTGTGTGTTTCCATTGTAAGACTCTCTTTCCCTTTTTCCTCTTTGATGGCTCATCATGTAGTTCCTAAACTTTGCTAAAAATATGGGGGAAATAAGTCAAAGGTCTCAGTTCTTCATTATGTGATAGTAGGAAATCACATTTATTTCAATATCTTTCTTTCCTCAGGTTTGTACTATGAAATTCAAAACAATGATATTCGAATGGAAATGGCATTTCACGAGGCTGTCAAACAACTTCAGGCACGAGCAGTTCAAACACAAGTAACAAAGGAAAAGAGCACTGATAATGTAGAGTGTGCTGAAGAAGGAGGGAATATAGAATCCAGTTTAGGCCCTTGGGGAACCATAAATGATTCTTCTTCCGCAGCAGTCAAGGCTGTAGGAGCAGGAGGTAGAAATGGTGAGTAGCTATTGGGAAACTTACTGACCTTCTGAATAGCAGCTGGCACACAATAGGCACTAAGTATATGTTAGTTAAGTGAATGTGTACTGTAGTTTTTAGTTATTTCAGTGATACTAGGAAAGACTTCTAAATATTTCTTCGTTCAGATGATCAATGGTCTGAAGCTTCTATTAATATTGTTTTTTGAGTTTTCCAGAGTTTACTACTTCCATAGGTACTACTACTACTTCCATAGTTTACTACTTAGTAGTATAAGTACTACTATAAGTACATAAGTTTACTACTTTTCATAAGTACTTTCATAAGTGTCCCATTCTTGCACAGTAGAGGTTCTTGCATAGCAATTTTTTTTTCTTTTCTTCTTCTCTTCCTACCCTGACATGGGTAAGGATCCTGTCTTGTGATTTTTAAAGCTATGTGTTTATTTATCTAATCTCCATTTTCTCCATTTTTCATTAACAGTCTCTTTTCCTCTACTTTAGGAACATATTTTAAATGTCTTTATAACATATTTTAAATGTGTTTTTGTGTGTTTCCTGCATATATGCATTGTGTTTTGTGCATACCTTATTTAAGTATGTCTGAGGTATTGACATTTCCTAAACTGTACTATTTATATATTTGATAACTTTGATATATGAAAACATCACCACAGTCAAGGTAATGAAAATATCTTGTGATCTGTTTCTCCAGCCCCCATTTTCAGACAACCACTGATCTGATTTCTGTTAGTATAGATGAATTTACATTTTTTAGACTTTTAAAATTCTAGAATTCCCTAAAATATTTAGAATTAAATAGAATTACATAGTATGTCCTCTTTGTTGTCTGACTTTTTTCACTGAGCAC